CTTTGTTCTTTTCTCAGATTGGATAAGAAAGGAAAAAATGCTATGGGTGTATTGGAAAGTTAGATGAAAAGATTTGATCTCAAAAATGAGGTCCCACAAAGCAGTTGTGATCCAGATTTTTCCTACAATGGGCTTTGTCAAGGATGCAAGGATATATTGTATAATGAATATTCCCTCAATGAAGGAAAGAGCTTCAGCATAATAAAGGTATACATTGACTTGGCTCCACTGAAGGAAACTTACGGCATCAAGCTCCAGATTTTCAATATCTAGTGAGATGGTTTGGGAGAAAACAACACAAATATTATTCTGGATGAGCACTGGCTTAAAAGTTCTGATGAACTGCTCTCCGTTGTCAGTGTCAGCAACAATAAGACCAATCAATGTCCACTTGAAATGCTGCAGCAATTTGATAATTCCCAGGTATTGGACCCCTTCTTTAGGGACTGTCTGGTAGAAAAAAGGGAATTTGGTCCTGTCGCTCAGAGATGATGAAGCAAATGCATAGCTGATCTGAAAAAAAGGAAGCTTTGTTTTGTGTGAATCCATTACCCAAGTATTTGCCACTCAAGTATTACGGTATGGCTTCTACTGGTGGAAGGATGTTCTACATTTGGATAGACAAAAATCAAAGGCGTCAGGGTAGGACCTGCCCAGTGCTACTGGGTGATAATATTTATGAAAAGGATCTGAGTGTCTTAGTGGATCACAATGTGAACATCAATCAAGAGTGCCTCCACTGCAAAAAAAAAAAAAAAAAATGCAGTCCTCAACTGCATCAACAGAAGATTAGTGCCAAGATCAAGAGGAAGGATGTTCCCCTTTCCTCTGCATTGGTTCAGACTGCCCCACAATGTTGCATCCAATTCTCAGCACTAAAGTTTTTGAAGAACATTGACAAACTTGTGTGCGCCTAGAGGAGAGCAAATCAAGAAGAGAAGAGGCTGGGAAGAATAAACCTGAGGAACAGTTGAAGGTGTTGGGCATGTTTAGCCTGGATGAAAAAAGACTACCAGGAGACCTGATAGCTATCATCAAGTGTATAAGGGGCTGCATGTGACAGATGGGGCAGAATTGTTGGGATTTGATGGAGAAGGAAGAACAAGAAGCAATGGATATAAGGAAAAAATCCTAATGGTAAAAGCTGTTCAACAATGGAATGGGCTTCTTGAAAAGGTGATGGACTCATCTTTGCTGGAGCTGTTTCAAGAGAGCCTAGATGACCATTTGAGGTTGGAATAGTGGTGGGTTCCTGACTGGACTAGATAATCCTTAAGGACCTTTCCAACCCTCCAATTCTGTGACTCTTTGATTCTTATTACTAGGAAGGTCCTATGGCGGGATTGCTGCTGACTCTGCTCATCTCCTCTGAATATGTTATGGGGAAAGACCTTGAGGGATGAGGGGAAGAGATGTTGGCTAGGGAACATTCAGATAAAAGGGAGAGGAGCCTGCAACTGCATAACGGGCAAAGAAATTTAAAAAGATCCACCCTAATGTATCAAGCTGTTAAAAGTGATGGTGGGAGATTTTTATTTTCGGACTTTGAAGGTTCTGTTAATGTAGCCTTACAATAAAGTAGAATGAGCTCATCTGGTCATGCTTCCTGTCTGGTTTACCTGGAAGGTCTGACAGAATGGTCCATCAGGGAAGGGTTTTCCTCCAGCCTAAAGCCAACCCCCAATCTGGATTGGGTCTATGTTGTGGGATGAGATGACTGCATTAATGTGAACTCCTCTGTGACTCCCAGTCCTCTCATAATCTCCCTGGTACCTGTTATTTCTACAGGAGGAAAAAATCTCCCCTTAAACTTCTAGGCAAAGAACTTTGAGCGGAATTCAGTCAGCAAATAATTACACAGATACACACCTGTGGAATTTTGTAGATGCCCAGCATGGTTGAAATCTGAATTGAGTAGTCAGAGTCGGTCCCTTCAAGAACAACCAATATGTTTTTCTTATCTCCACAACTGTAATTTGGAACATTGGCCTCCCCAACTGAAAGCAGGTCCAACAGAACCTCTGAAGTCATTCTTGGGTCAAAATAATTGTCATGGATGGTGTAGCCCAGGGAGATATTGGGTAAGGACAGGGGACTCTGGTTGATCTCTTGGATGGCGATCTGGAAGGACAGGAGTTTCCAATACATCATGGATCCTTTCCTGCAAATATATCGTATTGTTAATTGATTTGAGGGAGGTGGCTTTGATTTATCTCTAGGGAGACAAAGGCAATATGATTCTCCCCATCGTGCTGAGAGGCAACACCGTTTTCCTTAATAACGCATTTGGCAGGACCTCATAGTCTCAACCGAGAGTTGCAAGATGAGAAGAGGCTTCCAGAAGCTGACTAAATAATGCTGTGCATGCAAAGTCCAGGTTCAGGAGCCTCTTTGAGGCATTACAGTTGGTAGATGAGTCTGTCGGACCAGGCAAAGGACAGCAAATGGGCTGTTTTGCTTCCCTCTCAGAAATAAGGAAGTCATGTTGCCATCATGGATCCTTTTCTGGAAATATATCGCCTTGTTAATGGATCTGGGGGAGGTTTGTAGAAAACAACTTTGATAAAAAGTTGCTTTTTAGTGAGATGGATGGTGACAAATTTGATATATAAATAAATAAAAATAAACATAAAGATGACTGAATGACCTTAATTCAAGCCCAGGCAAAGACATAGTCTCAACAGAGAGTTGCAAGATGAAAAGAGGCTTCCAGAAGCTGACTGAAGGTGCTGGAAAAGAATTCTGGAGGTCATGCTGCTTCCTCAGTTGTATAAAGGTTGCTTGTCTGGGCTGCCTTGCAAGGCTGACCTAATCCAATATAATCTAAGATTGGCTGCCTGGTTGTGTCAAATCTGGTGAGCTGTTTCCCCCCATTACTTTCATGAGAAGTCAGAGGATTATTGCCAGAGACAACAGAAGCAGGATGAGGATCAGCAAGAGGGGCAGGATAGTTCTCATGCCAGGATAGTTTTCAGCCAACTCAAGAAGGATTGGACAGCACTCCATCTCAGCAGAGTAACATTTACACACACACACACACACACACACACACACACCACTTTCTCGGTTCCACACCCCAGCAGAGTTTTTCTTTCAAACCTTTGCTTCTTAACCACTGATATCTAAACTACTGATAATTTTCAGAAGGAGGCTGGGTGGAATGGGCCTCCTCTCCTTAACTCAGGAAAAAGCTCATGAGAAAGAGAAGAGAGAGCAAAGAAGGACATACAGCCACCAACATCTAACCAAATGGGAACTGCAATGAGGAAAGGAATCGAGGATCTCGGCAGGTGTTTTCCAGCACTGGAGCATTCCTAAGGTTAGGCTCAGGAACCAAAATAAAATAAAATAAAAACATTTCATACTAATTAGTTCTCTTTCAATATTGGATTGAGTAGGATGGGATGGGTTGGGCTTAGACAAAGTCTTTGGCCAACACGGCTTCACTCCCAGTTAGCATCACTGACTATTTTACAGTAACTGAATTATTGTCAGCTGAACAATTTATTTGAACATTTAACCGGTAATAGCGCAATGCCTTCAGATGCATCCATGTCCTTCTTTTATTCTGTTTTGGTGGGACCCAGATTCATTGCCAGAAGGGTGACTGGAACTTAAGACCTGAAAGATCAAGAAAGCCTATTTTAAAGTGTGGGAACACTGGATACAGTGCATAGTTTTTGAGGAGATCTGCTCCTCCTTTGCTGAAGAACAACTGCACTTCACACACATTCATGCTAGCATAACATCTGAGTCCTAGAAGATAAAATCCAACTGGTCCCATTCTTAAGGCAAGATCTAAAATGCAGAATTGCTGGGGTTCTAGCACACCCCAGAGTGACTTACAAGACAACTGCAGGAGTAGGAATCCTGCTGAAATTATATGGTGTAAATGAAGTACTTGTTGCAGAAATGAGCCCACCAATGAGATAATCTCCTGGCCTGCAATGATTCCATGGATCTGCTTCATCCCTCTCCCAAGTCAAGGGGCATTTGACTTTCAGCATCTGGTAGGCTGTTAGAGGCAGCTGCATCAAGAAGAGAAGCAGGAGCACCATCCTTGCTAGACCTGGAAGGCTACCTG